CATCGATGTTAGCTTCTTTGTTTTACCAGGCTTTATTGTCTTCTTCCTTGTATGCGTGCTCTTCGTCGGGTTCTTCTTCGTTCTTGTTTTTTGTTTCTTATTATTATGTTTCTTCTAGGATTATTACTTTCGGTACAAGGTTATAGATTTTTTTTCTTTGCGGTTTATTAGTTATTTTCTAACTTTAAATTTTCTTCCTTAAGATTAGTATTCGTCTTCATATTTTTCATTCTCTTTCCAAGATTTATTTTCCCTCTTGTTCTTTTTTATTTGTTTTCATACTAATTTCTCTTCGTCTTTTTCTTCCAATTTTTCTTTTTCCTCTTATTTCTTTCTTCGTCTTCATTTTTTAATATAATTTATTTTGGGCTTTTTTATTATCTTTTTCGTCTTCATGTTTCTTTCCAGTTTTTTTTCTTGCGATCGTAATCGCTATAATTTTTTTTTCTATTTAGATTTTTCGTTAATTTTTGTCTTTATTTCCGTTTTGTCTTCGTATACCTCCTCTCTTGTTCCAATTTTTTTCTTTTTTTTCTCTTTTTTTCTTCACCGTCTTTATCTTCTTCAACTTTTATTTTTTCTATTTTTCTTTTTCTTCTTAGTTTGAATTTTATTTGTTTTTATTTTTTCTATTTATCCATCATTTTTTTTACCTGACTTCTTCTTCTCGATTTTGTTTGGTAACTTTAAAAAATACATCATCATTGAAAATTTTTTACTTCAAACAATACATATAAAGTAAATCAAACATGAAATTATCATAATATGGATTTAATATTCATAAATGAAAAGAGAATAACAATTTATCGTGTATAAGAATGTATGATGAACGTTCGACTTCTTACATCCGGTGAAGGATGTCTAGCCTTTTAATTTTATTGAAAAACAACGTTCTAAAACTTTTCGATTGTTTGTCCTGATCTCTAATTTGGCATTTGTTTATTTCTAATTTTATATTGATTTTGAAGGCTCTAAACAAAAGCTAGGATGCTTTCATATATCTGAAAGATACAAAACACACACATTGTTCTACTTTTTTTATGACTTTATATAACTATTTTTTCAAACTTTGTTTTGGTTTAATCAAAGAATTTACATATAGCAGAAGAAAAGAAAGATCAGAGATTTTTGTACAGAAGTTTAAAACAATTAAGTGATTTGATACCCATAAAATACTTTCCAAAATTAAATGTCACTAATTGATATACATAAACTATTTACTGAATTAATGGTTTAGTACTTTGGTTAAATATGTTGAAACCTGATTTAATTAAAATTTACTTGTCATTCTATTAGATCCAAATTAATATTCCTTTTTTAACTTTGATGATTTTTTTTGTACCCTCTTTCC